GAGGTTTAAAGTGTGTCTTGGCCTGAGCTGAAGGAGCTGTAGCAGCAAGGGTCTGATGTTTTTCCTTTAAAGTATTTTACTTTTTTACTCAATTTTACTCCTGTATGTATTTTTAACCAATATTCAGTGTATGTCTTTAACTGTTGTTTTAAAAATTCTAAGTCCTTATGCTAATGATAATTCTAAGTGATAAAATACATTCCAAGGTATAATGTTCATTAATGAAACAAGCTTTTAATGAATAGCTAGCTTCTGCTAGTCATTTATTTTACCTAATTTTTTACACTTTTTGTTCTGTCGTAATAGTGTTGTGAAGCAACCTGGAATGCCACACACTACTGATATCTTTTAGTACAATACTACAATGCATTTAAGTTGAATTGCTATGCATCATTACACAAGGCTTAAAGGAATGTCCTCTACTGAGATTCTGATGGAACTGAATAGTTTTGGTCGTGACCAACGAAGACTACAAGGGAACTGATAGAAGTATTCCAACATCTTAAAAGGCATTGACGAAATCAACCCTGCAGAATTAACGGTGAAGCATGAGCTAGAAGACACAAGTGGAAACTATGTGGAAGTGCGTTTGAAACTGCTTTAAGAAATTCTGTACCCAAAAAGTTGTAGTAGTCTAAAACAAGCTACCTAGCTACAGAATGTGGTTGAAGCTGATACCTTCCAAGAAAAAGCTGGATGTGATCCTGGGCTCAATAAACTACTAACCTCCAAATGGGACCAAATGACTCATTCTTATGTTTATCTTTTCTTATGTTCTTAATTGGTAATATAGTGCACATGCATCATAATGAAAGCTCGTGGTCATTTGGACCATGGTGTCTTGATCTTATTTAATCTGTTATTTCTTCTGTTTCCCTTAATAGCTTTTATTTATGTATAAGATAATACTTGTACATAAGCAAAATGATGTCTTCATGTTGTCAAAAAAATACATTACAGTGCCTGTAACATCGCAATGTTTGTCTGAAAGGAATAGATGAGATGATTTCTGTTATGTTCTGCTAATAATAAATCTGTGAATCAAAACATCAGTTTCAACCTATAGAAAACTTATTGTAATATCTTTTTAATCCTTTTTTATTTTTGACATCTGAAAACATCCTAAAAGGGTAAAAAGCCTTGAATTTATCTGTGTAGTTAAGGCAAGTACTAGATCTCAGATTTTAAGATTATTAAAAGCTAAAAAACATTACTAATTTTTTAGAACAAACTTGAAGCATGTAAACTCTTTAACCTAAGAAATAGTTTTTTTTCCAATTAGCATTTGGACAAGGCAAATTCACTATTAAACAAAGGCACCTCACTTCTTAAGATCAATATTGTATACATACTGTATATATGACATCTACAACCTGTTATTTAAGTGATGCGAAATAGCTTGTCCCAAGACTGTACTATTCGTGACAATGTTTATTACACTTGTAATAGCAGCCTTTAGCAAAGCTACACCTATTGAAGTCCCATCTGTACAGAACATCACTAGATACAGTATATCATTTAGTTACCTGTGACCTGAATACACTTTTCTTTGCAGAATACAGTAATAATTCCAGAGAGTTTGCTGGTGAGAGATAAATGTGTTGCAGCTGCTGGAATTTTGGACAATTTTAGATACAAGGGAACCATAAACAGTGTGGAACAATGATTACAATTCTGGACTGGATGGTTGTGAGTCCCAATCTTGGGTGAGACACAGCTGTTGTACTCTGGGGCACGACACTTCACTCAACTGTATTAAAAGGTGCAATTGCAAGTCTCTTGGGATAAAAGCATCAGCCAAGTAAGTAGTAATACCAAATATTGTTTATTCTCTAAACAACCCACACTTTGATTTACTTTGATTGTCATCCTTTTAAATTTCAAAATGAAGGATCTATCCAGAAGCTTGACCGCCGATATATTGTGAGCAAGTTGGGTCAAGGACATTTATAATTGGTGGAAACTTATACTCAGCTTCTGTTATTAGTAGCATTTAGAAGTAAGTTTTGTCATCAGGTGCTAGCAAGTCTTTAACATTTTTAGAAGAATCCTGTTAACTGGATTGAATTGTTTCTCAGTTCTTTTCAAGGTGAATGTAATCTCTGGAGTGTTGTGAAGTCAGGCGCTATCAGGGAACTGTCAGAAAATTGAAATTCCAGGTGTCTGCTGTATAAAAATACCCCCTTGTGTTTATGAGGAGTGGGTGCTTGCACACATTCCACCCAACCTAGTCATTCTGCGCTAAGCATCTGTTCAGTGAAGTGATTGCTTCAAAAACAGTAATTTTGGTTAGACTGAACATGACATATTTAAAAGTTCTTTTAATTCCTCCAATGATCTCTCAGTTTTGTGGCTCATGAGATCTTTTTCCCTGCAAAACCAAGAACATATGCTGCTTGTTGCATTACAGTGCTCGAGTACCCTAAGCTTATTCTTTGTGTCAGTTTGCTTTGCTGATTACACCAGTCCCTGACACCCTCTCAGAAAACCAGAACAATGTGTTTGAGTATAGGATGCAGGAGAAAAGGAGAACAGCTAACCATGATTCCATGTTATTTTTTATTATAAAAGCCATTTTTTCTCCTTTCTCCTATACCTCACTTCCTAGCACATAGCAATGTCCTTGTCTTTCACTCTTGTTTCCCCAAGTTGAACTGTTGGGACTGATCTTCAAATTTCTCACTGCAGTTTCACAAAGGGGCACCGAGAGGTCAGACTCAGTTTGCACTTCATCAACTTAGTGCAGCTGGCAAAATACCATAACCTGGGATTGTCACAATTTAGCAACTTGAGGGACCCATCTAGCTACTGTACCAATGCTGGCAGTGTCTGGCCTAGCATCTGCTGCTCTCAGGAGGCTTTCTAACAGGAGGATTTCAACTTTCCAGTTCTTGGACTTGTGACTGTCTATACATTAAAACTAAAACCTGCATCCTTTCTTCAGTGTGACTGGCTACTGTCCCACTTCACTCTGTGCCACCTTTTTCAGGGAAGCAGTGTGGAGCAGTGGTCAGTGTTCTGCACTGGTAACTGGAAGGTTAGTGTTGGGTAAGACATGGCTGTACACTCAAACAAGTCATTTCACCAAACTGCTTCAGTAAAATACCTAGCTGTATAAATGGCAGCAAATGCAAGTCTCTTTGGATAAAAGGGTCTGTCAAATAAATAATTAGGACTAATTTTGGACTTCCCAGTTCCAAGATCAGGAATTTCATGGACCTACACTTGCAGTGTCATCCATTACAGCTCAATTTGTTTTCTAAACTGTGCCTCGACGTAGCTGCTAAAAAAAGCCATTTTTCTTTGAGGCTACAAAGATTGAGGACACTTTGTGTCCAGTTTTAAAGAGCTCCATTCTTGACAAGAATGAACTTGTCTTTGTTGAAGATATAATGCTGTACAAGGTTAACATTTGTTTCCTCTGTATATTTTATTTGGTATCCTCAAATATTGCAACAGTCTGACTGTATGCCATGTAAGTATGTTTGGTTTTACTCATTTTATGTTTTCTTTTCTGCATGTTCAGGAAAACATTAATTAGGGATCTGTCAGGCTCTCGTTATTAAAATGCGACCTTTTTAAAGAAAGTTCTTATATTAGGGGGCACAGTTGTTAAAAAAAATAGGTTCAGCAACAAGCTATCCAACAAGTTGTCCGGTTGTAATTCAGCAACAGTGTTGTCTTTTCTCATTTGGAGTGGGTGTTTTAATATGCTCCTTATCTTGCTGAGGAAGCAGTTCATATATAATTGTCTCCCTGAAGACTAGTCTTTCAGACAATCTGGCTCAGATAAGTTTGTTTTACAGTGTACCAGCACAGGTTTTATCAAGTCCTTCATCAAGCCAGAAACCATGCAGTCTCAGCAGCAGAGAATCACATTAAGGCTTTAAAGAAGAGCCTTCTTTGCATTTATTTATATTTTAAAAAGGTCACAGTCAAATTGCAAATTGCCTGCCATGTCACTGTGCATACTGGTTTATTTCTGGGTGATACTGTGGTGGCTGAGGATGTTTGTTTTCATGTCCTCTAATGAAGATTCAAGGCATATTAGTTTCTAGCATATAATCTTCTGTAGTTTACTGTATTCATGAACAAATTAATCTGCTTTATTCATGTGGTGTCTTATTCTTTTATCTTCAGAATTTTCACAATCCCCTTAATCAAGTTCACCCATATTTTCTGGCCTATATAGGTACAGTAGGAATGTTGTACATCATTCTAGTATTGAAAAAGAAATTTGGAAAAAAAAATTGAAGAAAACAGAGTGCTTATAGTGTTGTTGCTTAAGTGCGTTTTACCTTTGTCCAGTTAAGGGAGGGAGTGGTATGGAGAAATTTAAGGAGTGCTGAGTATCAAAACAACTCTAGCACACACTGTCACAGTAGAGATGTTTTGACGCTAACTTAAACTAGATGAGCAGCCAACCATATTGCTTTTTGCCTGACTTTGAAAGTGGCCTGCACAGGAGTAAGAGATGCTCACGTCCATGTGTATGAAAGGGGAATTGCTATAACATGAGGCTACAGGGACAGTTTTTTGTCCTTGCTTCTCTGCAAGTCTTGCAGCCTCACCTCTTGTATATCTATCTCACACTGACAGCCCTGATTCTTTATGTGCCCTTCTAAATTGTGAATATTGCATAAAGCTTCTAACTCTTTTCGTTTCATTTTCATTTCATTGTTAAGGTGCTCATGTCGTGCTGAGCGTATAGTATATTGTAGATGTATTTAACTGTACCTCTCAGAAAAGCAAATTTCCCTTCTGGGACAATAAAGGTAGTAAATAGCGGGTGTTCAGATACCTCGAATACTGCCCAGCACCACCACTGGCTCCATATTTTCACATCCCTGGAGAAATGCAAAACACAAACTCACTTACAGATTTGGGTCAAGGAAAGAGGCAGAAGCTTACGCTCTCATTAAGAAAGAGAAGGGCACTCTGGGAGAGAGGGAGGGAGAGAGAGGAGCTGTACCGAGGAGCAGTAGCAGACGCACAAGCTGGCAGCGTGACGAAGTGCAGTGCTAGCTGAGGAGGCAGCAGCAGCAGCAGCAACATTTCCAGCATCCTTCTAGAATGAGCTTCCGAGAGGCTCTGACAGGAGCTGAGGAGACGCTGCGTCGGACTTAGAACTGGACTCACTGAGGAGCTCTGAGGGGAACTAACACTTTCAGCCCTGCTGTGGATGTGCCTTTGCTTCTGGTCTGTCCTAGTTTGGGGACTGTTCTTGTCTTCTGAAAGCAAGCTTCCTCGCTTGACAGTTTACTTGACTGAAGGCTTGTTTTCTGCTCTTGTTTGTCCTCTTGTACCCCCGTGGAGCATTGCAGTTTGGAACGGGGCGGAATTAAGGCTAAGTGAGGAAACTGGGTCATCTGGCTGCTCTCCTGAAGGTGATAGGCGCATGTGAGGGCCGGTGATGTTTGTGACTCTACGCTCATCCCTGGAATGGGCTGCACCACCAGTGTCATTCTCTTTGAGGGCCTGCGAACTGTGATTGAGAGGAACTGTGGCTACATCTGCAAGAATGCTCCAGAACAGAATGGCCTTGAGCAGGCAGAGCAGTCTCCAAGCAGGGCAGAATCCAGGATATGGCCACAGTCTGCAGTGGTAAATGCGAATGTCTTGTGGCTTCATCTGTGTGTTTGTTTGCATTTGCGGCAGATAGGTGAATCACACTGAAGAAAGTCATGGCTTTTACTCCTTTCAACTTGATACTAAAAATAGAGTGGCATTTCTTAAAAAGAAGAAATTAGAAGCATAGTAAAAGCGGGAAGTGAGTTTTTTTTAAGTATATCCTTGCAATCAAAGCTTATGAATTATGCAGCCCCACTTAAATGTCCAGACAGTCGTGTAAGGTTTTTTTTTCCTGGCAGTTATTTTGCAGACTGTAAAAGGTGTATCTGTCAGTAAAGGAAGCTTTGATTTCCTGTTCTGACATGTAGTACCCAATAGCATTATCTCTACTGTACAGAGTTATTTGCTACCAGAATTAATTAACATGCATGGAACTGTATAGGAAAGGGCTTTAAAATGACCTCTTTTTCAGTTTTGATTAGTGAGAAGAATTGTCTTTTCCAGTTAAGCCCATCCCCTGTAACCGAATACAGAAACTAAAATGCAGGCAAAAGCAATTAGACTAAATCTCTGTCCTTTTTTAGCACCGTTGTATGGATCGGTTCTTGCAATAGGAAAGCAGCAGAGTTCTGTGACTGATCAATGAAGCTTTTCTGTTAAAGTAAATTTCATGGGAAAAAAAATGCCCATAGCGTCTGGTGTTTAGCAGTCAGGATTGTCTTCTGCATAGGGAATTGGCTTATTTTTCAGATTCAGTCTCCTTTATTTGGTTTTAAAAAATGACTTTTAATCCTTTTCTTGTCAGACAAAAATTGTGTAGTTTTTTTGTAACGTACGTTAGGATACCAATAGGGACATATACTTTAAACAGTATGTAACAGTGCTTAATTTACCTAAAATGCAGCCTATTGCACATGGTTGACAGCTTTTATGTCTTTTCTTTCAAATCAAAGTCTGCATCTCTTTTTTTTCCCTGACTAATTTTTTCCCTGACTAATCCAGACTAATGATATTTTTGTTAATGCCTATAAATCACAGATTTAAAGAATCAGAGGCAGTTACCAGCTTGTCAAAATCAGAGAACAGAACACAAAGCGAGGCAAATGGGTGGATAGACAAGTGACAGACAAAAAGATTTTGGTGCATCCGTAAGAGATGCTGGATCCTTTAATTAGGAAAAAAAAATCCGATAAAATGCTTGCAGCTGCGGATTTTGCGGAGGAGGCTGAAGGTGGGCAGGGGAAAACGGCATCGCAGGCTTGGCTCTGCACTCACGTGAACGAAAAAGCGGAGATCCACCGGTCAACTTGCGAGGACTGATTCTACACATAAACAAAGCATCCACATTCACGTTTTCCAGAACAACTGCTTCTGTTGCTCTTCAAACTAATGCTGTCAAATCTGAAGTAAAAAGAAAGCCCTGCCAAAAAAAACCAAACAACAGAAAGCTTTGTGGGATTATTCTTTTCCCCCACAGTCCTTCTACACTCTTGGTATACAGAGTGCACATGACCACACTGCCAGATACAGATGGCTGTGTGTGTTCACCATTGTGTGCTTGACATTTTGTCACAGCTGTGTATTTCACAAAAGTATATTGTAATGCCGCAGGAATCTACTGCTAGTAAAGCCAACATCATGTATCTGATCACCAAATATTAGTATATTATATAATACTCTCGGTGTATTAATGCAGTCCAGTGGAATAAGCACACCTTGGTCAGTATGAGAGATGGTTGTGCTGTTGCTGTCCACAAGTATATTTCTACAGCATAAATTCTGGGAAATTCTCATTCTCTTTATCTGCCAGTAAAAAAGGTCTCGTCTGTTCTGTCATTTTAATTAACAAAAAACTTTGAATTAGCTCTTTCCCCATGAAATGTTTGCCCTTTCTGTTTAAGAAAGGTGAATGTTTGGTTGGGAATAATGAATAGTAGGGAAGGTGACTACTTTCAAAAGCAGTGTATACAGAAAATTGCCCCACTGTAAGGACAGAGATGGGTTCAGTTTCTGAAATACATATCTCTGATGTACTAGAAGTGCTGTTGTTGCCTTTGGATTAATTACGTCATTGAATGTTGATTTCATGCTTCTGCACTGTCTGTGGCTCTGGGCAAACAAAAGACACTGGTTCATTTGAAATGTCCTTACAGGAATTTTGGTCCATCCCTCCTAGATAACACTGCCTGGCCTGGAATGTCTAATATACAGCACAAAGATGATCTGCTGCTGACAAGGCTGGAGGGTGGAAGTGTGCTCACCAGCAGAGCTTGAACCCCTGACACTCATTTCAGTATGCAAGATGGTTGTGCTACTGTTGTCCACCCATGGCTTTGTTTACACAGGATATTGCCCTGGGTTTTCAATTAGTCACTTTATACCAGCGCACCCTTTTCCTTCCTCCAGGAAATTAACATATGCTTTTTGTGTTTGGAGGGAAGGGGGGGTAGTGGCAGTAATCTGTCTTATCTCATTATTGGTATTTAATGCTGCGCTTCCCCAGGAAAGCCCCCAAAAGCCAACTGTAACAGCAGAAAGGTACTGTAACAAGCGTGGGGGCACCGGAAACTGACCTTTCACTGTTTATTTCTGTAACAAGTCATCTTTGTTGTTATTGAATTGCTCTGTTTGCGGAAACTCTTTTGTTTTTTATAGGGGGAAGGAGTCTTCCTTCTGAAAGATTGCTAGCCGGTCGGACTAGGCAGGCGATCATACCGACAGCAATAGGAACTCTGCTTCACATGTCTTTCGGACCCCATGAGTCCCCCTTAATTGTTTCTCGCTTCTCCACTTCTTCATTGATCTGATGTGCAGTGGGGAGGTTGGCACTTGATGGCTGCCTCACATCACCCAGGTGGGGAGATGCAATTCTGTGGTGGATGAAGTGGGTCCCCTGCTACATACTTAAAGAGCTTCAGTATAAAAATGGCTAGATAAATGCAGTTCATTATTACTTGTGAAGAAGACATACCAGACTGTCACATTTTAAATAAGTAGCTCCCCAGATACACTGGAAGTTGCCAGTTTTCTCACAGCACTTTTGTGTCCATACTGTAAATCTAGTGAGTATCTGCTTGAGTTCCCATAGGACCTGCGGTGACGGATACTGTAAATGCTTGGGGGAGAGTTGAATTCTTACTGCCTGTGTGTTAAATAATCTTTGTAGTACAAGGAACCTGGTAGCAGTCCTTACACTATGCTTGTTTGTTCAGTCTGATGTTGCCACATTAAAAGATGAAGCTTTGTTCATTTGTTCATGTTCATGGAATTATACGAAAGGGTGGAGTAAGCAGACTAACCTGTATGGCTTTGATAAAGAGTTTCCTTTGTATTTAGATCATTACCTTTTGTATTGTGTAGACTGTTTTAATAGCCGTTTAGAAAATGGGCTTGGTTTATGAAATAATTAGGTCCTTTTAAACAAAGTAATAGATTCAAATTTTGTTTTCCTTTTGATAATGAGTCCTTTTGCTCTGTGAGTGCTATATAATTGGAATTTGATTTATTGCATAAATTAAAAAGCATCATAAGCCTTTTAATATATTGTACATAGAATGCTCTCAAAGTATTGGGACATCAAATTTAAAACTCTTATATATTTATTAAAAATAGTCATAGACCTAGTCAAGCAATTTGTATTCAGGAGATTGCTATGGAAGATAATGCATAATGCATCGTAAAATCACCAAGTTGTACAGTTTTTGTTCTATTTTGCCATAAGTAGTGGGACACACTCATTTGAACTAAATTTCAAAATGTAGTCGAAAAGACTAAATTTGGTTGCATGTCCCCTTCAAGTGATAACTGCTTGAAGTCGGAATGAGTTGACAAGAATTTTTGTGGAAGTGTTTAAATGCTTTGCCAGCGTGATTAAAGTTCTTCCCTATTCTTGGGGTGACGGTTTTATTCTTCAGCATGAAAAAAAGCATATAGTCGGTTGGATTTAAATCTGTAAATTGGCTTGGCCTAAGATTTTATGCTTTCTTTTTTTCTCTGGATGAACTTGGTTCCCTTAACTGTACAGTATGTTTTGGGTCATTGTCATGCTGCATGACTTCTACAGAAGCTATCAAATGTTTCTGTACACTCCAGAATTCAGTCTTTCTCCTGCTGTCACTAGTCGAATCATCATAGAAAGCTAGTGAGCCAGTTCCAGAGGCAGCCATGCATGCCCAGTCCTGACACTACCTCCATCATGCATCACAGATGAGATTTTCTGAAGGTGAGAGGTTTACGTCTTGCAGTGTGGATTTTTTAATTCTGCTGTCTCAGTCTTCTGTGATGAGTGGATTTTGATACCTTCAGCACTGCACTCTGGAGGTTGTTGGTGATTTTCACTGTCAGGTTTTCTGTGGTTTTCCTTGACAGCTGTGCTCATTTTCTGTCAACATCTGCAGATGTTTTTTTTGGCCAACCCAGTCCTGACTGATAGGTTTTTATACCTGTGATTTCTTTTTTCTTTGGTTCATTCCAAATTGTTGATTTTCATATGATTTCCGTGTTATGGTTTTGGTTCAGTTTTTCTCTTAGCTTTCAACGTGCTTGATTTTTTTTAACAGAGATGTTTTTGGATTTAAAATCACGATAAACACAAAACTGTCAGTAAAAAGTCATGTCAACAATTAATCAATTGTCCCAAAACTTGTCAATCTTCAAGACTAAATAAACCCTATCATTTTAATTGATCCAAGAAAGTATAACTGTATAAACATAATTCAAAATAAAATTCTTGCCATTCATATTGAGAAATAGTATGTAATGAATCACATAGGGAATCCCAATCTAGACTCCACTGGTCCCAGTGCTTTTGCAGAGCACTGCCTATTTACATATCAACTTATTTCAAGCGATAAAAATGATGTCTGTGTAGTGATGTATCCAGTTACTGCACAAAATATAACGCACAGAATTATTTAACTTGACAAGAATAAAGCATCAGAATCAGTTACTTCATTTCCTCTGGAGTCATGATTTCATTTGAACTTGAGGCTCCCTTCATGAAATTCCCCCTGCAGTAATACGTTCCCCCGTCA